TTGACGGCAGACAAGGACCCGTCACCCTAGGGCATCCTCAACCCACCCTGCCGCGGACGAAAGGAAAAATTCCCGCCCATTCATAAATATTTGGGTCCGCTGGATGCTGATGGAGTACGTGTATTGCAAATGCATACCCGTATCGAGTTAGGTATTACAGACCTATATACATGTTTACAGGTTCCTTAAATTTGATTTCAATCATTTTCGAAAATATACAAAAACACAGGGAGTTGCTTATTCCTATGATGGGTAAGGAAATCAACCTCCGACTTGTGTGGTATGATTAAACAAACGAAAGCTTCACCATTTTTTGTTAACATGTCGGAATTTTTATTCTGAAATGGGGTATTAAAGCTGGGAATTTTTTTTCTCAAATGGGAGTGCGCCGAGCCGCGCCTAAGGGCCTTCCGTTCCGTCGCAGCAATATTATGTTTGAGGTTACATGACGATTGGGTGAGTGGGTGCCAGTGGGTATTACAATGGAGGTATACGTGCATTTTTCACTGCCGAATATACGAACCAGAAAATCCCTGGTCAGATCGGTTTCAGGATCAAAGATGATTTCGGATTTCTGGGTCGAAATGCCACGGAAAATGATCCAGGGAAGTGTCATTTTGGACCCGGAAAGTGTCATATTCCGACCCTGAAAAGTATCGTGACGATTCAAACCTGGATTCGGGTCTTATCTGGCAAGGAACTGGTAGTAGCATGATAATCGACTAACCTCAAGCCTTAGATCTGAGTTTTTTCCCTTCAAATTATCCTATGCTTACATTTTTTCCGGATAGCCCTGAAGTTCCCTCAGACCCTTTACCCAACTGTTGGCCAAAAAAGCAATATGGAACTGCGGACCGCACCTGCGTAGGAATGGATGAGGTAAAATTCAGGCTATGTGTCAAACTTTATACCATGGCTCAAGAGAATCATTACTAGGTATGACTTTTATCCCAAATTTTAATAATAAGGGGAATACATGCATGCTCTCCGGCTAGCATCATTCGAAGGGTTGATGGATGAGAAGGGGGTACGTGGGCGTGCAACCTTATGCCAGCTCATGAGAAACATTAAGGTATCCCAAATTTAAAATATTAAGGGGAGTATGCTCTCAAGCTAGCATTAGCTGAAGGTTTGATTGATGGGAAGGGGTACATCAGCTCATGAGTATAATCAAGGTATGACTTTTTATTCCAGATTTAAAACATTAAATTAAGGGGATACATGCTCTCAAGCTAGCATTAGACGAAAGGGTTGATGGATTGGAATGGGTACATCGATGTCATGATTGTGATCCGGAGTCCGACGTCATGAATGCGTGGTAATCCGAGCAACCGAGAACATTCCCGGTCATCCGACGTGTACCGATAATCCGTAATAAAGGGCACACACTAGAGTGCGGCCATCGAGTGAGTTTTCCGAAATCTTTCATCTCCTGATTTCAGGGAATACTGACACTCGACAGCCGTTAATATCGGAAATCACAATGTGACCTACCTGAAGACTGACTATGAGAGTGCTCATCCAGTCTGAGCCAGTTTAAACATGCGTAGATATAGGTTGACAGTGTGGGCAGAAGTTACTTTGACGTCACGTTAGCTGCCGCATGGTAGATCGGAGCGGGCGGCCGTATTAAGTTCAAGTGTTGACGCCATGCATTCATCTTTCGTCGAAGGGTACAGCCGTTGAGAGTATAGAGACAGTATAAACTTGAGTCAATTTCCGGACTGACGAGGAATCATTATTTAAGTCAGTTCGACACTTTTTTTTCCTCGAACTAGAAATTGAGGTAGGCATCATGTTCCTTTCAGGAACTGGGTGTTTTTTGGTCTTATATAAGGATATTTCCGAAATTTTAGTATAACCATTGTGTTATGTAAAAGACAGTTGGGAGCGGTGTCATCACCACAAGAGGCCGCTTTACCCTTTTATTAATCATTAAATTCATCAACAACTTATGGCAAGTCATCATCCATCAAGCTACAACACTAAACTTGTACTCAAGGTCCCCTTTTTTGGCGCGTTGCCTACTTTTAAAGGAGAATCGTCATTTTTAGAAAATATTGTCCCTTTAGGCTAGTTTAGCCGAATTCAGCTGAAATTTAATTAGTACTTATGGCAAAATTAATAGTACTTTGGGATCTCTTTTCATAAAATGACACTTCTCCGGGTCAAAGTGACACTTCTCCTGATTTTTCAATTGACGGAACAGAATACAAAGCTATAACAAAAATAGTAATTCTTATACTATAAGTCAACATAGGCCTACAGCTATTTTCACTCAGAGTGACCTCAAGGCACATATCCCGCTGTCTTCCCATGGGGAAATGTTTTCCATCTTTCGGGTGGAATAATCTTTCGCCTGGGATTACTATTCCACCCGGACGCTGCCGTAGAAAAAAAGGCATATCCTATCGTTTAAATCCATATTTTGAATTTACAAGATTGGACCTTTATGATGGGAAACCCTGATGTAAATCTTGACCGACGTTTTAACTCGGTAATGCAAAATTTTAAGGAAAAAAACTTGGATAATTATTTACAGAAAGAAACTGGAATGTTTGCGTTTGTTACAACTATTTTATTATCATTATTATTAATATGTGTAATGCTACCATTCAGGAGACACGTTGTCGTAATTTCTTCGCACGATGGGAGACATCGTTCATTAGAGAGACATTTTCATGTCTCCCTAATGTCACATCCCCCCCCCCTTCAGGCGAAAAATTTTACTGTCGCAATTAGATTATATTTGTTGTTTGTGGTCTAATTAGTAAACATACTTAAATTTGTGGGAAAAGGACAAGGGAATATTGGGTTAGGGCACATTTAAGTTTGAAAAAATGTGTGCACAAGTCTAGGGATGTCTCCCAAGTGTCCAATCCAGGGTAATATTTATTATTTTATTCTGGTTTATTAAAACCCATGCGTCGATCGTGGCCCGAAGGCCAAATTGTACATGATTTACTGGGGAAAAAAGCATTAAAAATTTACATTAAGCATAAGATTTAAAATACAAAAAGTGACATTATTGCGATGTTTAAAATACACAATGTATACCCACAAAAAACGTAAGAATTGGTCAGGGATTCAGGATGAGGAATGTATGACAAAACACTAGAACATGGGATAACACATGTTGGACCCAAAAGACTAAAAAATTATATTAAAACGAAATCGATATAGTAAAATTAAGGGCGTGATAGTGAAAACAATATTTTTACATTTGAATTAATTAGGTCAACGTAGTATGGGATTGGGCTATGTTTAGATAGTGCCCAGAGTTGCGAACATTTGTACGTGAAAAAAAAAACTTACGGAATTCATCCACTTCCGCATTCAGCAATATTTAATTTCAAAACTGACCCCTTTGGGTTTGAAATGCGTCGTGATAAATTTTACTATCGGTTGAATGACTTTATCTGAAAACATGTGAAAAAAAGAATGATGATTTAGTTACGATGAGATACACTTCCATTACGATGAGATACACTACCAAACAGGTACTCAAACATATCTGTTCACACTCTAATCTCCCCTTCGGCTTATACCCAATGTTAAATTTCAAATTATATGTGTTCCATTTGAGTATTTGTAAGTTTTGTAAATATTTGTTACGTTATGGTGTGACACCTTCTTTTAAGAGAAAATCGTCATTTTTAGTTAGAAAATATTGTCCCTTTAGGCTAGTTTAGCCGAATTCAGCTGAAATTTAATTAGTACTTATGGCAATATCAATACTACTTTGGGATCTCTTTTCATAAAATGACACTTCTCCGGGTCAAAGTGACACTTCTCCTGATTTTTTCCCCTGCAAAAATGTCATTTTGGCCTTGAAATGTGTCATTTTTTTACCCTGAAAATTATACTTTGGTTCAAAATAGAACCCAGTTTCTGGGATAGTCTGACCATCAGGGACTTTTTTCAGAGAGCCAGGGGCGGCGGAACGCTTTTCAAACTGGGGGCAACACCAAAAGAGGCACTTATCCAGAAAATGGCTCCTTCCGTCGGTGCGAAAATTAGAGCCCTTCGGCCTTCCCTATGGCGGATCCAAAATTCAATTTGGGGTGGAGGGGGGGGGAATGTTTACCCCCAAAAAGTGGGTCAAAAAATTCACGTCGTGGGGTTCTGGGCCCGCTTAAGGTGGTGCATTTTTTGACGTCACTAAAAAAGAGACAATTTTCATTATCGCGAGAGGGGCACCGTAGCTTTTGATGGCCAGCTCAGTGACAATTTTATACGCGTGAGGAGGAGCACTATTATTTTTAAAGGCCAGTTTTCCATGAATGGGGCACAATTATAATGTTGCGAGCGGGGCACTAATAAAATTGTGCTTTCGAGGTGCAGTTTTCCATCTCGAGAAGTTATCGCGAGAGGAGCGCTATATTGTTTTTGATGAAAAAATTTCCCTCTTGAGGAGGGGCACAATTTTATTATTGCGAGAGCGGTATTCTAGTTTTCCATCTCGAGAAGGTGCACAATCTTGTTAATGCGAGAAAGGCACTTGTGTTTATGAGGGGCATTTTCCATTACAAGAGACTGAGAGGAGACCATTTTATTTGTAGCGCGATCATATGCTGTCATGTGTGCGTTTGAGGGGCAGTTTTGTTTTCATCTCGAGGCCGGCCTCGGGCACATAATCGCGAGAGAGGGGCACTTTTGTTGGCCTGGGAAAAGCTGGGGGCAAGTCCCCCCCCCCCCTCCCCCACCCCCAGTTCCGCCGCCCCTGCAGAGAGCTAGTGTAAATACGAAACACACGCTAAGGAACTTGTGGTATTTTGCAAGCCGAAGGTTTAGCCATCGAGTCCATAGCGTGACAAGCGATACAACTTTTTAGTGGCATCGACAAGGGGCGGAGACGTGGTCGTCTTGCGGAAAAAAGATTGGAAGTGCGCCCTCTGTCGTATTCTGCCAAGTCCTTGCCCAGACGTCAATTGGCCACGTGCCATTCAAAATGCTGAAGGGTATCTGACTAGACTTGCCAGCTGGCTTTGCTTTTTATCTACGTACGTACGTACACGATGTACGTGATCCGACAGACAGTATTACTTCCTCTACCGACATTCGTTGACAGGGTGACACAGTCGTGACAGTGATGATATCTGATGTGGCGTTTCTAAGTTCCTAGGAAATGGTCATTGTTGTATGATCCTCGTTATACCGGTTACCAAGAAGGCATACTATCCGTGTGGAACATCGATGATCAAGGTGAGGTTTGACACATTAAAGTACCAGTACGCAGTAGCTTGAGTCCTAACTCCAGCTCAACGCATTAGTTTAGAGCTGGAGGCACGTTAAAAACGGGGTAGGCCTAGGCCTAAATAAGATTAAGAGGCCCGACATCCCGGACCGTATATCCCCAGTGCATTACACAAAAACGGTCCATTTTCCCTATTATCCCAACCCAGATTCATACTTGCGATGTAGCAGACATGATTCATGAAGCAAATAGGCCTAGGGCCTAATCGACTTCAGCAGAACAGAAAGACAAAAATATGAAATTTTTCGATGATTTTGGTGACAATTCTCCAGAAACGATGAGAAAATGTCGCGCGACACAATTCTGCCGTTGACCCAAAAACCCAACATTGCCCAACAAAAACATCAGATTTACCTCAAAATGGCCCCCAAATTTAATACTAGACACGCCACCTGAGGATCGATGATTAAGATCGAGGTACTAAAGTTTTAGGCGCCTACTTTAAATATGATTCGGATGACAAGTGAAATTTCCCATTCAATTTGTAACATCTGATGCGATCTCTTTTTCTAATTCTATGGTTTCTCCACGGTCTGCCACCAGACCACTGAAGGTCAATCTTTTCAAACAGTTGGACATGTGGGACAAATTGAAATCACTTGGCTTCACTCCGTCTCAGGTGCAAAAATTTGAAGAAAATTAAAAATTGATTTGAGACTTCCAACTTGGCTGGTGAAATGCTGAGGACCTTGTCTTGGCTTCATAACAATTTTGGAGAACTTTGTTGGCTAAAGAGTGAGTAACGTTGGCCTGAATTTGTTTTTCATGTTTTCCTGCACGCACGGTCTCAGTCTGACAATGTCTCAGTCTGACAAAAGTACCGGAAATATCAGTAAAAAGTTATTCAAGATTTAATGTGTTTACACACCTACTGTATTTACTATTCACCATCCAGATTGAAGACATTACAGATATTTACATGTGAATATAGGATTCAGAATTTCAGATTGACAATTGTATGGGCTCGACATTCTGCATTGTAGCACACATAACTGTGCAATTTCATGATCACTTTCAGTTTGTGTGGGAATGGGATTTAATGTGGGAATAAATACACAAAAACTCTGTAAACAGTGAATTACATGTAACCACTTTGTTTTTCTTTCAAAAAATATCAATTGTTGAGTCATTTCTGAAATGCAAACACAACTCAATAACCAGTTGTGGAAAAGAGCACAATGTTACCCTTATTAAAGTTGTCAACTCATTTCAGATTTGTTTTGTATTAATTTTCAGCCGTCACCACTGCGGTAGTCTATATTGAAAATGAGATGTATGCTTGGGCATTTTCATATCCAACACTGAAGAAGGAAACTTTTCCGAATTCCAAACCATTGTGTTGTGAGTTCCCAATTCAGATAATATAATGTTTATGAGGAAAACTACTGCAGGAAGTATCCGTCAAAGGAAATTAACAATAGTAATTTCGGCAGCTGTAATTCATGTACAGATGTACAGGGTGAGTAAAAAAAAGCAGAACCCAAACTCCAACAAAATATTTCATATTTAAAAAATATGTAGCACCAAACATAATAATGACTGGATAGCCAATTTTATAAACTACTTTTAGATGAAAAAATTACTGGAATTGCTCAATTTGTTCAAAGAATATCACCATTGAAACACAATGACCCTAAAACCTGTTTCGTCCAAAAAAAGCAATTTATTGTGTGTTTTGACTTTAAAAGCATGATGGACACAGAATACTTGTTTCAACAACTGTCAACAACTGTAGTACATAATATCTTTATTAACAACGATGCTTTAAAGCCAAAGGCAAACAGTATGATTTATAAAATCAACTTTTTTTTTAAAAGACGGGCCTTCAAAAGGACTTTGTTGAATATTTTCAACTTTCAAACTGAGGTTTTTAACATCACTGGTGATGTTTGAAGACAATTGCGATGACGATTCTTGAAATCGCATTTTTGGACGAAAGAGGTTTTAGGGTCATTGCGTTGAAATGGTGATATACTTTGAATTGATTGAGCAATTTCAGTATTTTTTTTTCATCTCAAGTAAAAGTAGTTTATGAAATTGGCTTTCCAGTCATTATTTTTTTTGGTGCTACATGTTTGTTGAAATATGAAATAAATTTTTGGGGTTTGGGTTCCGCTTTTTTTGGACTCACCCTGTATCAGTACATATCCCTGTGCCACCTATTGGTATTCTCAAGGCCAGATTAGCGGGTCTCATTGATTGAGCATGTGTATTCATGTTCCACCTTCTTGTAAGGCTTGCTAGGTACATACCACCTTTTGTTGGGAATAATAGAAACAGGTGCATCGGGAGTGACAAGGCGACCGACAAATCTGACAGGGTGAAAAAGGGGTCAAGACTACAACAACAGTGCACATGGAGGAACAAAAAGGAACTTTGATTCATGTAATAGTCACCAAGACATGCACACAGTGAGCATGTAAAATCACACAGTATGTCATACCTTTATAGCCAAGGACAACCTTGTACATGTTTTTTTGGTTGTTTTTTTTAAATGTACAGTATGGTTATGCATCCACAAAGGATCGAGCACAATGTACATTGAATGCGTGTGACTGTCCAATACTGAACATGCCTGTAATTACGTGTTTAGGCCTATAGAAACGTTTCTTCACATTGTTGCTTTCGTCGTTTTTTGGGGTATAGGCCTATAATTTCTGTGAGCTTACACTACAGACAGGTATTGATGATGGTGATGCATACTCTAGATAAAATTACATGTCCTGCTGTATGTACAAACAGTTTACAACATGTGGGTTTGACCTTGGTGACTACTGGCAATATTGCTGTTGTGTGTTCCTTCCTCCATGCTTGGACCCATGCTTGGCCCTAAACATTTATGACCAATTTTACATGTATGTGCAGTAGGCGTATGCACAAAACTAGCGGGATGCTGCGCTTCGCACGGCACCCGCTAGATGGGTGGAGTTGACTGTTTTGTATCGTTGTAAAGTGAAATCTGGATAAGCCACACTCTGATAACTAAATACAACTGCTAAGTCACATAAAGAATCAGACCTTGTGTTGTACACGATCCTATTTTGACTCATCCTATCAGTCTCGCTTAAGTTGTCTTTGCGTTTAGCGCACATGACAGCGTTTCCAGCAGAGATTGTGCGAGGGTCGAGGACATATTCAGCTACATGTACAATGTACGTTTATGTGAAACTCAGCGTAATTGTCAATATAGTGGAAGGGGCAAGCCAGGGGTGGAGTGCTAGATATTACCGCATGTGTACCTGTCCATACATGTTTTATACTACATGTATACACATGTACATGTACATGTAGCTCTGTGTGGGCACGTGTGGTCTAGCGGTGGAGCACGTGTGGTCTAGCGGTGGAGCACAGGATTCGTGATCGAGAGGTTGTGGGTTCGAGCCCCACCGTGGACATGCGTGTTGTGCCCTTGAGTAAGGCACTTTACCTCAATTACTCCTCTCAACCCAAGTGTTAAATGGGTATACCGGCATTATTCAATGCTGGGAAGGTAATAGACTCGCTGTGGAGGAGGTGTGGCGATCCCCCCACAGCAGCATACGAGTCTGGCCCAATCGCTAATGAAAGAGAGATGGGCACTCCGTTCCTGTGAATACAGGTTCGTCCCCTTTACTTTTTACCTGTAGCTCTGTAGTTCAATGGATTAACAGTTTCCATTTTGTGAGATTTATACCTACCAGTAGGAAGCCTTGCTTGCTCATGTTTTTGTACAGTGTTCATATATTGACCTTGACTGGAGTAATACACAAGACAAGAGATTGTCCTGCACATGAACCTTTCCGTGCAGGGTACAGATAAGTCAGAAATAAAACAACTTTATGTAACTTCCTTTTTAGGGCTGAACTTCCTTCCTCACAATGTTCATGCGATTCTGAGGATGTACGTGTACGTGTTACATCTGCAACAATGTGCACCCCATAGTGCGTATACATATGTTTTCTGCCAAAATTTAGTTTTCAACCTAATCGAACACCAATTGTTATCGTAATTGTTATTTCTGCGACTCAGTCCAGAAGAGTTGGTGCATGGTTAGTGATAATAGTGATATAGGCCTATAGGTGATTCTTTTTTTCAGTTTGCATAATTGTGCTTGTTATGATAACTATTACCTAAGGGCTTTGTATATACCCCTATTGTCCATGAAGATAACAGCTGTAGGTTTTGTTAGCACAAACAGGGGTCAATGAAATAGAATGTGTTAAAGGTTTCATATCTGCAACAATGTGCAGGCCATAGTGCGTACATATCTGTGCTCAATGTTGTTTTCTTCTAAAATTTAGTTTTCGACCTTCACCAATGTTAATTGTTATTTCAGCGACTCAGTCCAGAAGAGTTGATTACATGGTTGGTAATATGGTGTGATTCTTTTTTTTTCAGTTTGCATGATTGTACTTGTTTTGATAAGTATTACCCAAGGGCTTTGCATGCACCTCTATTGTCCACCAAGATAACAGCTGTAGGTTTTGTTAGCCATGGGGTCAATGAAAATAGGGTTGTCCAATGCTTCCAAACTTCTGTACCTGCATACATGTATAGCTCACTCAGTACTACATGTAATTTAATCCTATCCCTTGCATTGGTCTGGATTGGGCTTTCATGTGGTTTCCACAAAGCAGAGCAAATTTAGGCAAAAAAAAAAATAGTTCTGCTTCCGATTACATGGCACTTGAAAATACGGTAGGTATGTACATGTAGGGAATTTTTTTTTTTTTTTTTTTTTTGGCCAATTTTTTTTGTGTATGATCATATGGAGGCGTCTGCGTGTAGTCAAGGATAAAAGGTAGAAATTGATGGTTTTGGGTAATTTTTCCTCATTTTTCCCATAAAAAAATTAGGGGAGGGTCTGTCAGAATAGGGTAGGTACATGTAGGGAAACCGGAAGCAGAACTATTATTTATTTTGGCCGTATGCACGTGTGGTCACACTATTTCCTTTTTCACACAATCTAAATTTAATTTTGGATTGTTGTGCCTGCGATTTGAGAGCAAAACAAAATTCACAAACTTTAAAAAATTAAATGCAACTCATTTTGAGCTTACTGTACTTGTAAAGCTGAACGTGTGATTGTGGCTCATGTGAATGTAAGAAATAAATTTGGGGTCCACTTTTTTCCTGTCCCTGTTACACATGACATCTATAATTCTGATGTTCTCCTATCGTCTCAGAGTGATTATGAACAGCAAACTACCAGAGCCAACAAATATTTCAAATAAAAAAGCTTGTTCAAGTCATTCTTAATGACACCTGAATGGCTAATTACAATGTACCGAGGTAACAAGGACAGGACAGATGTCACACTTTAAACCCTTAATTTATAGAACGACCCGAAAGTCTTCAAAGTTACAAATGATTCACAACTCATTCTGTGAACCTCCACCAAGTGTTGCACCACACCCACTATATCCTTGGCAACAAAACTCTCATATTTTGACAGGACATGTATACACTGCCATGACTACATGCACATTTCCACGGCAATCTTTGAAGTTTGAACTTCTACAATGAGTCACTGGTTGGTATATAAGCTGACACATTGGGTAATAGTTTCCCATAAAGCAAACAGACCTTTGCTTCCAGTTTATATCACTTCATACCTGCTTCTTGTCAGAATAAACAAATGATAAACAGTGTTATCCAGATTGTACAATTTTTTGCTGTCTGTAGATACTCATGATATAATAATAGGCATCAGATGCAGTACAATTGGTTGCCCCTAATTAACAGGTCACAGCCTTACAGTGTTGACAGAAAGGCTTTCCAAGGAGTTTATTATTAATCAGTTGGGCAAACGCGCTTTGGGGCTTTGCATGCTTGATAGTACCACACATGTACACCATCTACATGTAAAGTGACTATCTCTATTGCAGAGATAGTGGCTTCAAAATTTGTGCATTTATAACCTACTTGTAAGCTTCTTCCAGTAGGTAAGTACAAGTGCTATGACATTGTGCTTCTGGCTGAGAGATAAGCAGTGTGTCCTTTCTCTATTGTGTGTGGTAATTACAGTGTGCGAGTAAAAAATAGGATATTATAAAGATCTAATGGAAGTAGCGGTATAGCCTTGTGTTTAGTGTTTGTGACCCACGATCGGAAGTTCAGGGGTTCCAATCCTGCATTTGCCATTATGTTGTGTCCTTGGGCAAGCCACTTAACCTTTTCTTGCCTCTCTGCACCAAGGAGTATGGATAATGTTTCCCTTCTACCGGTGATGGACTTGCTTCACAATTGTTTCATGCTACTGGTATTACGGCTTGATGAGCTACATCCATGTTAGCTTCGGACAGACTTATCTGATGTCATCTTATTCTCTGCCTGTTGTTTCACTTGCTCCATATTTCTCCTTTTTTTTTTTACAGGTCAGACCCAGTGTTCATGCTTCGCAAAGCAGATTGAGAAATGAGAATCCAGTGCAGTGTGGCGTCGAAGAACACCATAACCCAAGCAGGCATCCAATGCACGTAGCCATTCATGGATATTGCTATTTGCTGTTACTCGTCAGTGCTTAAGCCAACCCAACCCCAGAACCACATCAATGTCAGCCACGTCTGAGCCAGATTCTTGGAGATGACTTCCCAATTTAACTTGACGTTTCACTGCCATCAGTGATCCTGCTAGTACCGTTGCATGTCTCCACTTCTTTTTATTCACTTCAGTCTAGCTGTTTTCTGTGTCTAGGATTGTCTTCATCTAATTCTTCAACTTCTTCTCATCTCAGTACTTCTCCTTGTCCCCCTCCCCCTTTTTAATCTCTTACTTGTACATCAACTGCCCCGCCCCCCTCCTCCATAACACACGATGACAACACTTGCCGTACCCAAAGTATCGCTAGACTTGCCCCAGCCCTTTGGGCGTTCCAGCAGTGACTCCAACCTGTTGGATAGACGGAACTGCTTTGAGGACAAGGATTACGGGCTTGATATCCCGGATGAGTTGTACGGGGACCGGCCTGAGACTGAGGGGCAGGTGCTGGAGCCTGAGAAGACGGAGAGGTAAGTGGTTGATGTGAACATCAAGATTGGGAAAAAATAATAAATACATTGTAGCAAACACAGTGATCTGATACACCGTGCCCTCTGGAGACGTGCACACGTCTCCACAGGGCAATTTCTATAGATGAATACATCTCCACAAGATTTTCACAAAATAGACATATGGATTTTACTCAAAAACTAGGAATTTTCAAGGTGGGTTGATCTGTCGCAAATGGAAGAGTTTTAGAAAAGGGATATATTAAGTCCGAATTTCAGCCGAGGAAATTAATTGTGGTTAAAATAAGAGCATTTTGAAACTCGAAAACTTTACTACACGAGAACAAAGAAATGTCTCCACAAGAATACAAATTTCAGTATTGGTGAACTGTGTGTGTGAATTAAGCAGTTTTTGTTTGCCGTGATGTAGTCCATGGTGTTTTGTATGACCTAGGGTTGCAAAATGGCACCTGGCTTGAAGCCGAGGGTGCCATTTGCTCCCAAGGTAGTATGAGGCAGTGTCCAAATGACTTGGCTACGGCTGAACATTGCACACACCTATGGAAGCGGCTGCAGCCACTTCCCATAGACCTGTGTTATTTCCAGCCATAGCCAATCAATTAGGACGTCGCCTAATTGTTTGTAATCGGCTTTCAAATACAAATTTTCAAATAGGTTTTGCCTTTGTTCTTGATTTATTCTTGATATTTCTTGTTTACTTCCATAGTGACCAAGACACGGATTCCGATTTGCAAGACCTTGCTGGGGAGTTCCGATTACGTCTCAACAGCAAAGGCCACCGTGCCAGCATCACAGACAGACTGCATGAAGAACTCACCAAAGCAAAAGTGGTACAGAAATTGCTATTTGTGTTCTGCATTATGCTAAGCATTGGGCCCAGGGATGTTTCATGACAGTAGTGTTGAAATTTAAACGTAAGAAATGCCCCCCCCCCCAAGATTTCATGAACAGCGCCACCCCATCTTCTAAAAAGTGATCATACTGACTAGAAGGAGCATTGGGTCTGGTCCCTTAAAAAAAGAAAACTTTACCAAAAAAAAAGCCAAAAGATTTGCCCACCATTGTTCAAGTTTTAAACGGCTGTCCATGGACAGTGGAAAGATCAGTGTTGCAGTATTTTTATCCGAGTACAAAGTACTACCGAGTAGCACGCTATCGAGTACCACTCACATCCGAGTTTGAGTACAAGTTTTGTAAAACTGAGTTTGAGTACTTGGACCTCCGAGTATGAGTATGAGTACTTTGTGGAGTATTCAGGTAAAAATTAAAATCTTGAATAACGAGATCCCACTCGGACGCTGGTGGCACATTGTACATAAAGATGAAGCATGTAGTCTGTGCAAAGACCAACACAAAGGAAATCGATCCTCTCTACAGCCCGGTACACATGTCTCCAGTATTGTTAAAACGGAGCATGTTCATCTCCAAGTCAGGAGTTGTTTTTTAATGCAAAACTAAATCACTCAATTTTCCCCCAAGTTTTTATAAGGGAGTACAAGTGTACTTTGATGATAGAGTACGATATTGAATAGTCAAGTCCAAGTACTTTGCTTCTCGAGTACAAGTACCGTGAATTCGAGTTCGAGTATTTTGGTATTTGAGTACGAGTGTGAGTATGCGTATTCTAAAAAAGAATTTGAGTACTAGTTCGAGAACTGAGTACTTCAACACTAGGAAAGGTTTGGCCCACCATAACGCATAATTTATAACAAACCTATCAAAGCTATTTCAAGCTATTCCCATGATTGTTCACTAGACATGCTAGAATCACAGGATCTAGCATAAGCCAATTCAGAAGTCAAATCATGGGAACAATTGGGAGGTGTGTCAAGCTGCTCTGGTTGATCTGGAGATCGGACAAACTGTTTACCGCCCATTTACCATCATGGGCACTTCATTTTTATGCTTTTTTATCACTGATTTGTTTTCCCAGGCACTGGAGTTGAAGGATGAGCAGGTGTCCAAACTGACCAGGGTACGAGAGGAGATGGACCAGGAGATTACTGAGCTGACTGCCAGATTGTTTGAGGTATATTTGCTTGGTAAATGTGGGTAACCAGCCAGCATGTCACACATTGTATACAGGTTGTGACTGGTTGTCCGCTGACTTTTGCTTAACAGTCTAATTTGCTAAGTAGTATTTTCCGCTTAACTGCTGCTAGAAATTTGGCACTAAAGCCAGGCCTCACATTCAAACCTTGAAACCTATAAACCTTTAAAAACCTATATTTCAACTTGGGAGCCTTATTTTATTTTTCTAAAGTACATGTAACTTATTTAACCTGTAAATTCTTATATTTTATTCTGGCATGCATTTAAAAAAAAAAATTAAAGAAACTTTTAAAAATAAATTTGACCCACAGTTTAATTATCATAATGCCAAAATAACCATGTAGTCAATATAGGCCTTTCTCTCTAAGATTTCTTGTACAATTGTTCAGAATTTGGCAGTTTGCATGAAATTGGTAACTTTATCTAGTGTGGAGAACCTGAGGTGAGCAATGCGCTAGATTTCTGCTACCTCGTGCTGAAAAAAATACACGGTTTTGCATCCTAAAAACCTTGGAAAAACCTTTAAAAACCTACATTTTGATTTTCAAACCCAGAGATGTTAAGCTCTGAAAGATGCTGAGCAGAGAAAATCTTTGCTGAGCAGAAACCGGTTACCAACCAAAATGTCATGCAATGTTTAACGCTCATGACTGGTTCTCGTCAGTGTTTTGCTTAGCACGTAAATTTGCTGACCAGTATATTCTGCTGGGCAGAGAAGATGCCTGCTAAGCAAACAACAGCTGAATACTAATCACGAGCAATATACATCACATGGAGTTTTGGCTGGTAACCTGTTTTTATAAGCCAGATTTTTTGTGCTAAGCAAATTTTTGTGCTTAGCAGCGCCGTGAAATTGGCCCTAGATGGTTCGCAGCAAGGTTTTGCCTGGTGCGTAAATCGTGTCTTGCAACAATAATTTGGTTCACATACGTGTAAAGCCTATTTCAAAACTACAGGTTTTCACAGAGTACTATGCAGTGTCAACACAGTTCTAAGCCACAACTGTTTTTATTTGAAAACAAATTTCTAATTGTAAATGCACACTTTTTAAAGTATTTATCAATTTTTAGTATTCATGCATGTACATGTACCCACAAGGAAATAAAATAGAATAAATAAAAGACTGACATTCAAATTTAAAGAACTTTTAGCAATTTGCAGGTGTTTGACTATCTGTTTACAGTTTTGCATGCAAAACAAACTATAGGTTTGTACCCCGGTACTTTTAGGTTTCGTGTACACATGGTTAGAAATTGTTGTCTGTGTACTTCCGCATGTCCAATGAACCTGTAATTTTTATTGTTTCATTTTGCAGGAAGCACACATAATGGTCAATGAGTCCAACGTGAAGAGGGCCAAAGCAGAGAAGAAACTGAAGGAGGCTACAGGGAAGGTAGGCACAGCTACAATGTATAGTGTTTCCGTCAACGGTGTGGTTTGAGTACAAAGCAAATAAGACTTTGCCTCATGGTGGGAAAATATCAACCTTTTCCCTTCACACAACATTGTCTAGTTTACTGGTGTGTATTTGCACTGAGAGTTCCAGTTGGTTTTGGTGTAGTTTCACTCATTGATTGGCAGTCATTTAAGATTCAACTCTTGGAAGTTTAAAGTCCCATCTTGATAGAATTTGCCCTTGGTTTTACCTTGGGCTCCATATTTCCCCTCAAATTGACAAAACATCCTGGTAAATGTCAAAAAGTCTACAGTCGATTTGAGACAAAGGTTTGATGGGCTGGCACACTGCTGTGAATATCTTCTGTTAGTGACATTATCCCATATCTGGGCTGCTACTTAACTTGAACACAATCATCATGTTGTCTTTGTTTTATTCAAATAATCCTCGTCACACCTTGACAGCTTCAAGAGATTTTAACGCTCATTCCATGCATAATTTTGGTTGTTCCTGCTGTTGTTGCTGCATTTGTACAGATCGACGTGCTCCAGGCTGAAGTGCAAGCCCTGAAGATACTGGTCCTGACCTCCACCCCCAGCAAGCCCAACCCCCAGTCGGCCAACCCCAAGAAGCGCAGCATCCTGTCCAAGCGATCCAAGAGTGGCCTCTCGGCCAACGTCCTGAGTCACCATAGAAACCACAGCCTGCAGGGACCAATCAGCATGGAGCTGGCAGCACAGCCGACCAATGGGGTTCAAGCAGCGTCGCCGGAGCCGGAGAGTCCCAAGAGAGGAGAGGTAAGGACCCCAGAAGAAGATCCAGGGAGCGAAGAGCGAGAATTGTTTGAAGCACTTGAGCTTCCCCAATTTTCGAAATGATTACTAAAAGTTTTCCCATAATGGTACAAAAAAATTGGAAAATTCAGATTGAGCAATTGGATGATGACTTTTGGTCATGTGACCGCAGTGTTTCCCCTGACTAATGAAATGAGCGAGGTTGTAAAATTCAAATTGATGATTGAAACAAAATTTATGCTGTCTGCAAACTGAAAAGAATGCAGCGCTGACCAAAATACCCGATGATTCCATCTTCACATCCTAATTGTGAGTTCTTGATACATAGAGGTCAAGGAAAATGCTCATAAATCACACAAAATGGACATTGTTCGATTTATTATAAAATTTCCTTTATTGCAAATCTTCACACTAAATCACAGCGAGGTGGTGATTTTGGCAAAAGTTGAGCAAGGTGGTCACTGAAAGTAGCGAGGTGGACCGCCTCAAGTTTGAATGGGCAGGGGAAACACTGACGTGACCAAGGTAGCTAAGTCAAACTCAGTCACAAAATTCTGAGAAAAATGCACAAAAACCAAAGGTGGGCTGGGCTTGTGTCAATTTTGGGTCAAAGCATTGTCATCTAAAGTGTCTCAGTAAATACCAGTCAGTCTCCTTAATTGTCTTCAAAATGTCTCCCCCCCCCATTTCTTTCAGGCGGACCCTGTTCTCCTGCGCGAGTTCCAGGCCTGGAAGGAGCATCCCACCTTCCTTCGGGATGATCCCTTTATGGCCCGCATTTTTGCCGAGGATGTCTTTCCGTGTCTCAACTTCCCTAACCAGCAGCTGTCAGAGACGCTGCAGAGCTGCGTGGAGAGTTTCAGCCTGTGCATAGAGCCCCTACCGGACAAAGGGTCCCTGCCAAGGTAGGTGTGTCTCAAAAAGGAAGCTGAGGTAGTCTGAGTCCAAGACTGGTCCGAATTCCTGGCAAGTGCGGTCAAGCCACTGTGGCGGTGAATCAAAGCGAGTCTGGGAACTTAGGTACTCTGACCTGGGTAATTGCGAATATACCTCACGGGCGCCATCTCAAGCTAATACATGCATGAGGTATGCTCTGATTTTCATGGGTCCGGTGCCAAAATCTTCCCCAAGCTGGATTTGATGTATCTTGTTGATACCCCTCTCTACCTCAACGGTTGCTTGGTTGCACTTGCCAGAGATTAAGGGAACAAAATACCAATCAAGTCTTGCAACAAAGACTAGTGCTGAGGCTGTGTCCAAATTTACTTGGCTACGGCTTGCAATTACACATTTGTCTATTGAGGCAGCCGCAGCCACTTCCCATAGATGTGTGTTATGCTAGCCTTAGCCATTCGTTTCGGACGTGGCTTTTAACCCAGAGGTTACCACTGAGAAGGCATTTTTTGTGTTGGCGCATCCCCACAGTGCTATCACTGGGCACTGGTGAAAAAAAAGAAATTTGTGAAGGAAACGAAGCCTAGTAAACCACTCTGGGTTGGTCACTCTTTGGCAACCAAGAATCCTCCGGGTTGCAAACTTTCACGTCGAGCTTGGGTCAAGCTGAACCGCGTCCGGACTGGCTGGGCGAGCACACCGCTCTTCTGGAAAAAAATCGGCCTTTGTCCTGGCTGAGACACACACATGCCCATGTGGCTCTCCTCAGACACTTAAAGGAAACATGCAGTCCAAAATTTTCATAACGTATTTTATTTTATATATACATTCATTTATGTGTATTAAATGTGAATTAAAAGCAGAACTGGTTCTGGTGTACGTTTAGTGTGGTAATTTGCCGTCCAAAATTGAACCCCCCTTTTTGATTTTCGCGGCAACTCCAAATGAGGGCGCTGTTCATGACATAAACAAAGGCAGAGAAATCCAGGGCCCGTAAATGACGTCTGAGTACGAGACGGATTAGCGAAGCTACTGTGCTGTGTGTATGTGCAGCCGCCGCGTACCCGTACGTGGCATTATATGCACACGTACGAATGTGTCTACATGGGATATGTACAGTACACGTGGACGTGCCACGGTGCCACCGTTGTCGAATGAACACAACGACGACCGTCATGACCGTAAAAGTTCCGAAGACCGTCCTCTTCTTTCCTTAGCGAATCCGATGAAAATGGTACAGATTCGTCCGATTCGAATCAGAGTTCTAATGATTCAGACACTGACTCGATGTTTTTTTAGGGGCAAGTTGCTGTACAGACCAGCATCAAAGCACGACGGCTCAAAGTGCAGCGCAGAGGGCCGCGAACTCACTGGGCCCGGACCACTTTGCTCTGGTATTTACCTTCACTTTGGCTCTCCAACTTGGCTCCGATATTTCGGATTTACTGGAAACAAATGAAGGCTTACTCCATCCTTGGTAGTTTTACTACACCTAGCAGCCACACACCTTGGCGGCATGGCCGAAAATCGGGTGTTATTTCTCCTCGATTCCGAACGAAACACCAGAAAAACTTTCAGTGCCGCAATGTATATGTACATGTATTATGATGCACGCCGCAATGCCGGTGCCCCCGCAGCGCGGCAAGTCTCTGCCTTCGCTTGCGTCATACCCCTCGCGAAGTTTTATGTTAATGAAGCTTCCCTTTGTGGGGCGGAGTAGTTTGACCAAACATGTTCACAAATTATTTTCCCCCATTTATCTTAGAAACTAAACACCGCCATACACAAAATATTGTTAAGAACATCATCCTTTATTGATTTAAGCAAAAAAAATGCAATCAAAATTTTATTTCATGTTCCCTTTAAACACATCTTTGAGGAGTGTGTTATCTACAAACCTCCCACAGGAGCCAGCAGCTTCAACACCATTGACGCCGATTTCATCACCTTGCGTAATGGAGATGTTCACTTTAAGAATCCTTCATACGAACGTCGACTCTCCATAAATATTGTTCATGCATTTCTTGCAATGAGAGCACAAAGAAATTAGAGGTCACCAACCCCCTTGGATGGGGCATTGGGGATAAGTGAATATTTTATGCAGCTTTGTATAGAATTTTAAATATCATTTTAAATATCATCCTCTTTCTTCAAGGGCTAAGCAGTCCTTATATCGTTTGCTACTCATTACTAGGCTCAAATTGATGTCAGCTTGAGGTGGCCAGCTGAAATATTGTTACACAGTGTAAATAATTCTGTCTTTGTTTCTTCTCATACCAAACCAAAGGCGGTGTTCGTTAACAGACCAGCAGCGTGCTTGCCACTATCGCATCAAGCTAGGCGACACAGAGGATTGGATCAAGATATGCACCGCGGCTAGGAACAGAATTACCGCAGTCTGTGACTTCTACACCTACCTGGGCTACATCAAGCAGGGACTGGTCAAAAGTGATCGTAAGTAAATTTTTGGCAGAGACTTCAAACTCTTAGAGGGTTTCAGATATTTTGCTGATTTCTGTATACAGATACATACATGTGAGCATTGTACGCTTATAGGGCACCTTATTCTTGGTAGAATTAGGCCGATGTACAAAATATTTACTTTGATCAACAGCTGGCTAAATTCTTCTGCCATTATAAACACCAGAAAAAAAAGAGTAGGCTTACCTAGTTGAAATGGACCCAAAAGTCTCAGGCCATTTTTTATACTCGGTGACTCATTCATCAGTCGGTCAGTCAGCAACCTGGTAAGTCAGAGGATAGTCTTGCGCGCGCCTGTTTTGCCTGATATATGCAGCGCGCATTCCAAACTTGTCGTAATTACTCCGAACCAAACTCTTAGATTTTATCCAGTAGCATGCAAGATGCAGCAAGAATTCCTTTTGCAAATTCAGGGCAGCTCTTTTGTGGTATGTAGCACGTGTGGGACTGAAAATGGTCTGCAATTGCCTGCAGAAGTAGCGCATGCGAACTAGTTTCCCCCATTTTTTTGGGGGGGAGATTTTACAAAATTCCCAAGACATCGTTGCTAGCGGTTCTTGGGTGATATCGATTCGTCGTGATAACGCCCTCTTGCAGCGGCGGGTTATCGTGAATCCAATATACACAACAACGTCTTGGCCCAAGACTAGTCAGAGGGATATAGGCTGGCCCTTTGGTCTCGCAAAAATTGAGACAGATGTACAGAGTTCATTAAATCATTTCTGGCAACTCAGCTCTCTGCTCCAGCAACAGCTTCTTTGCTGTACCGGAAACTTGTCAACACGTCCCTTAGCACACAGTTTAAGTCAAGTCCATCACAAGTCCACTTGGGTCAATCCCAAGTCAAATCACAAGTAAGTTCATACGCGGCAGAAGATGAAAAATGGAAAAAAAGCAGCACCTCTGTCACCTAGTGCCTCTCCTTCACATAACATGCATCAGACATAGTCTATATCTTGATCTACTTGCATTTCTAGTCATCCATCATTCTTCTACAATGGAAGGGCCAAAGTTGCCTGTATAAATCTCCACATTTCATTGTTTGTTTGATTGTATTTTGTAAACAGTGCAAGAGATCTACTGGGAGATGATCCGACTACGAAAACAGATGTCTCTGACCAAGCTAGGTCTACAGTGATTTGTTGTTAACTTAAGTCCATCTCCTTCCCTCGGCTTTGTATCGCGAGTGATCTACGCAAGTTGCTTCAAAGTATTTCTAAATCTATACTGTGTACGCTGGACACGTGTGCTATTATGGTCAGTCTGCTTTGTCCAGTTTGTGAAGAGGTGAAACTGGTGGAAGAGGTGGAAGCATTTTACCCATGGCATGGGCTTTAAGGCATACTTCAGGGCAAGCCTCTACAATTCAAGGAAAGCAGCACCTCAAATGTTCCCCAAGATTGCAAGTCCATTTTTATTAGTGTGTGTAAGGTTGGCTTACTAAGGTATTGTATTTTTTATGTACTCGTATTTCTGCCCACAGTACTGAGCCTCTGTAAGCACGATGGTGTCGTCCGAGTTCAGGGTACTGTGCTGAAGCAGAGTATTTTGCTGAGCATTTTTTTGTGCTTGTGGAAACACAAGTGCCAAAAGGAACAGGAAAACTATGTGTTTTTTTAAGCACTTCCTGAGCAGAATGTGTTTGTGCTCAGAAATGTTGTTTGTCATGTGAAGCTGCAGTTGGTCCTTTTTAAAGGCGTATAAGTTCATTTGCTTTTCATGCAATTTGTTCGCTTCCAGTAATAACACCACTCAAATTCCGAAGAAGAATGTTCAAAACCTAAGCTGTTGAAATTTCAGCGCATTGAGGATTACACTTATCGAGAAAACAGTGAAAAACCATGTACAACCTTTTGATCATAAAACATTTCGTTTATAGCAATCTCTGTATTTCCAAAAATCAGTCAATTGACTGATTGCTGGAAATTAGCTGGAAATAACCTACATTTCTTGATTTATTGTAAATGACATAAAGTCAGACGGAATAATTTCAAGGAGTGTTTAGTACCAGTACAATCTTTAATCCAAGTAACTTTTCGGATAATTATTTGGTAGGTTACTCTAGGGGTGAATGCAAATGATCCTAAATGCCTTTAATTAGAATGCAAGGTGCATTTGCTGTGACGATGCAGGCCCATTTGTGCCATCAGAGACTGCTCAGCCCTCCCAAAAAGTTGAGAAAATTTTAACTTGGTCAAGTTTTGCCATCAATAAATTTTGAGTTATTCTTGTTGTGAGAGTACCTGTATGAGACGACAGACTTTTTCCCCATTTTACCTACTTCCGTTGTTTAAAGACAAATTTTTTAACAACAAAATGCAACGAAGGACTACTTTGGGCGGTATGACTTCCTGACATCCAGTATTGTTTCTTTTTGTAAGCTTTTCAGCATTTTTAACTAGAATTTAGTTCTTAAAATGGTTTAAATAAAGCTATATTTTAAAATACTACGTACACTTTGTTAACATGTACAGTATGAGAAAAAAAAGATGCATTCAGTTGATTTACTGAAAGTTTATATTTTGTAATGAAGAAATGCTTTCTCCACACATGTAAACTACTGGTTAACATAATTACCTCCACCAAGGAGGTTATGTTTTCATCAGATTTGGTCAGTTAGTTTGTTGGTTGGTTGGTTGGTTTGTCTGTTAACAAGATAACTCATTTGCATGAAAAAGTTTTTAGGGTTGGTCCTTGGTACAAGTACAAATCGATTAGATTTTGGAAGTGATCCGGATCTGGGTCTGGATCCAGGATTTTTTATAAAGGATTCTTCACCATTTATGCGAGTATTCTTTTTGGGTGTACTGACAATATGGCGGGGAATTGTGTAGCCTTGCCGGAGGTTTGCGCTCTCTGAGTGTTTTCTAGTTTTTCTCATTTACTGCTTTTTTAATGGTACTTGGCTGATCATACATGTAAGTTTACACTGGGCTTGATGTTCCAGTTTTGTTGCCATTCGGTTCAAGCACAATATATACACCAATTTGGGCACGCTGTCATTTCTGTCATGTTGGCCCCCTTCAATGGCGAAAAGCATTGTGCTAGCTATGGTACAGATAATCCGTAACGGAGCAGTTGCTTTGTACATGTACAGTAGATGGCACAATGGTTTCTCCATTGAAGGGGGCCTCGCAATTGGCAATGTGATCACGTGCCTGAATTCGCTTACAGAATTCGGAAACTTCCGATAGCAAAAAATGACCAGAACATGACCGTGTCTGTAGATGTACAATGTAACACTCAAGAAAAAAGGTACTCCTATTTTGAGTCTTCAAAAGTTTTCATGTTAGTACTCTGTGCACTTGTCACATTCAGGTGTTCAAAATAATGTGTAACTGGTTTTAACCCAACTTTCAAAAGTATATCTTGATTTAAAAGTAACCAAAGTTTTTTTCCATCGGATGTTCTTTTTGTAATGAATTTATCTTTGTACTTGATTAAATATAAAGAGTATATACACAGTACAATGTACATAAACATAGACAATTTTAATATAAAAGAAAGAAAAAAAATCTACTTGACGTAGAGATGAAAAATAGCTACGCATATTTTGATACATTTAGATTTGTGCCTTTAGTAGTTCATGTATTCTATGTTGGAGATTAGAAAGCTGCCATGATTCAGTGATTTCTTAAATTTCAGGTTACCTGACGCATGATTTGCTAATCTTTACTGTGCCTGATCCTTAAAGGCATATAGGATCATTTGCTTTTCCTGCATTTTGTTCATTTCCAAATATAACACCACTCAAAATCCAAAGAAGAATGTTCAAAACCTAACCTGTTGAAGTTTCAGCTCGATGGACATAACACTTTTCGAGAATACGGTGAAAAACATTGCACAATCTTTTGATCGAGAAACACGATTTCGTGAATAGCACTCTTTATTTCCAAAAATTAGTCAACTGACTGACAGTTGGAAATCACCTATATTTCTTAATTTCTTCTAAGTTACAGCAAGTTATACAGAATAATTTCACAGGGTGTTTTAACCAGTACGATCTGTAATCCAAGTCAGCTTTTTGATAATATTTGGTGGGTTACTTTTGGGATAAATGCCAATGATCCTATATGTCTTTAATCCACGAGGCGGTTTCTGAAGATTTTGCAGCATGCCAGTCTAGTGCTTTATAAATGATGCCTGATGTCACTTGAATGTTCCAGTAGCAAGTGTCATTGGTTTCTGGCATGAATATTTAATGGTTTGAAATTTGTAGCAGATATGCCCAGTGTGTCCTACTTGGCCTGTAGTCCTTTGTAACAAAGCTTCACTTTTGGTGGGCTTCATCCATGGCCGAGGATAAAGAACCATGACTGATACAAGCTTGTTACATTGTATATCTTCAAGGAATGTAATTTTGGGCAATTGAAAGTGTCCGGAACATGTCATAGTTATTCCACCATTAGTTTATTCATCAATGAAAATGGGTCGCTGGGTCTCCTGCATGTCAAACATTCTACTCGAACCAACTTAATTATAAACGGCCAGTGTATAATTTGTCCTTTTTCCAATGTTTACATTTTTATTAAAAATTTGTATGTCTTTGGCTGGCACAAAGATATAGTTTTCAATTATCTTTGAATTATGGCTGCGACTGCTGAAACTGGCTGGCGTTAATGAACAAGCAGTATTTGCCACATTGGCAATTTTAAGTTTATCAATATCTGAATCAAATGCCAAATATAATAAACTGATTTTTTTTTTTAAATTGGAAGCAAGCATTAACTTTTTAATGATCAAATTTGTTAATTTTTTTTTCTTTTCTATCAATTTATGCATTCAACTGAGGCTTGATTATGTTTTAGGGAAATAATCCTTCAAAATTTGCCCCCCAAAAATGAAGTTTTTATGCGAGCAAATTTTTTTTTCACTGTTACTGGACGTCCCTTACATGCTCAAGTTATTTTCTATAAATCCAACAGTTTTCTTGTGTTGATTCAATCAGTGTTAATATTCAGCCACAAATATGGCAAATGCTAGATTTTTGGTACAAGGATGTAATGATATTGCCATTTTTGAAATTCTTTTGTACTCTGTGAGAAAAACAATGTCTGAGTATTATTAAGAAGACAGCAATACAGTTATCCATTAAGTCCAGAACTTGGAAGGGCATAAACTTATCCAGTTTTGAAACGAATTAGTAAAAAAACTTGGATCTGTGACCTTTCAGTATTACTAAAGTATTTTCCTGTTCGTTCTGTCACTTTAGTACTGTATCGAGTCAATTTTAGATGTGTTGTACAGGCATGCAACTTTTCCTCGGATCAGCTGATTCCCTCTTTTTTTTACTTCCCATGTGTGCCATTGAAAATAGAAAAACACTGTACAAAGTCTGGGAAAAATTTGAATTTCCTCTTTTTTTGGGATTTCCCTCTTTTTTTGGGATTTCCCAGTTGCATGCCTGTTTGTAACTTGTTTATGCTAAGAATACATCCAACATTATAAAGGACGTGAACCAGGTATTTGAGATCCAGTCAGAAAAAGGCAGTGTGTTCTCTGTGCACCTAGGACCACTATTTGAAAGTATTTTTAGCTTGGTATGTGTACCTTTAATGCCAGTATAATCTCACTTTCTATGTAACAGGGGTTTTATATTTTCAAACATAGCCCTTGCCTGAATGACTTGGCTATGGCTGGTAGTGACACGCATGTCTATGGGAAGTGGCTATCAGCTGATTCCATAGGCGCAGTATAATTGCAAGCCGTAGCCAAGCAATTCAGAAGCAGCCATAGATGTGTGTATACACTGGCACAGTAAACCGGTGTTGCAAAGGTTCTTGTACTTCAAAATTTCATGCTTATGGCATTTTAAATTTACTCTCTGGCGCAATATTGATCTCAAGGCAATATTAACGCACAGGTCATTAAAAGAAATCGTTCACTGGAATTTGTGAGTAGAACATGATTAACGGAACCGTTTGCTTATTAAAAAAATTGTCATTCCTTGATCATAGTCTACATTTTTACATAAAACACAAAGACTGTTAGCATGCCATACTGTCTATGAATATGCTTGTAAAATAGATTTGGTATATTTTCATTACCTAAAACTCTTATCTGCTTGTTATCACAGTACATGAATTCAATATGTGTAGTACAGAAATGTCTTAGTACAAATATATACTATATTTTGATATTTGGTAAGTACATGTATAATGATTATTTTTTTAAATTACAGAATTTAGCATAGCAAAAAAATTGAATATAATTTATATACCAGAAAATTTTGCAAGTGTAGTGTTAGGATACTATGAAAACTGGCTGGTGAGAATTAAAAAATTGTCAACTTTTATGTATAAAGAAATTCAGCTTAGTCAATATTAAGCAGGTACATATATTTTGTTTGTTTAAATCTATGTGGAACCTTCATTGTGTCAATTAAAAGTCATTCAAAGGCATCAATCATCACACTATTGATTTCTCAATTTAGAAGGGAAATTTACATAAAACGTAAACTTTTTACTTAATTAATTCTTCAAGATTTGCATCTGGTGACTGCCATATACATATCAACAGAGGGCGCTGTTGATGGATGATGTTTCTTGACACCTACATGTACATGTACATGTACACGTCTACACCTTATCTTACCATGCATGTACCTCATAGCTCGTACACTAGAAGGAGTATTTTTGCTTGGATGTTCTGGGTTGATATACACACATGATAATTTAATGTTAAAAGTATTATAACCAGTTGTAGAAGAAATTCTGCAAACTGTGTGTATAATTTTTTTTTTACTTTATCACGTTTTTATTTGCTATCTGATTTCTTTTATTAAACGAAAATTGAGATATTTCTTTTTCAATTGGTATATTTCAAAATCTCCATTTCTATTTTAATCTACCACTAGTGTTTGCTACCATATTTTTTTTTTATATATATATATATATCAATATCTGCTGGAGACAAAATTTTGTACCTTTACAAATTTGGTCCTATATCCATTCCAGTTTAATTCACAAGTATGTTTTACACATAATGTTTATATAACAGCTCAAAAATGTTTACGTATATTTCACTTATTTATACACTTGCACATTTGAGAATATTAAAAGCAAATCAGATTTATTGCCAGAAACAACTGTCTTTGAGTATCTCTGATTACCCAAAAAGTGATTGTCCAAATTTGTCAATTTTTTTTGTGACATGGATTTTAAATCACAACTTTTTTTCTCAGTCAATCGAACACGACCGATCATTCCGCAATCACCCCCTTAACTTTCCTGTTTCGCCCCTCCCCGCCCCTAATTTTTGTTAGTGCATAAAATGGTGATTTTATTCCTTTTTTGAATAGTGGTGCCACCCCTCTGAAAGCGCCGGACGAAAATAGAGTTGCGCGCAATTAATTATTCAATGACAACAAAAAACTTGCGCAGCGATTTGATAATGCGATGGTGATGCGCACAAACAGCTGATCTCTGATCTGGTTACGAAATGTAGACGCATATTTCTTGTACTTAATTCATTATGGGGACTTCAAACGCAGTTTCCCAGATCTCAGTTGAAGTGTTTATTGTGACCTAAGAAAAACAACGCAATCTAGGTAAGTTAGAACCATTCGGATTCAATAGTTTGATGGTTGAAACGTGGTATAGAATTTAGAAAGTTGTGGGGAGTGCATCCGGAAGTAAATGTATACAAGGTATGGCAGTGGGGCGCGTATTTCCGACAGCTGTGTACATACAGCGCGGAACATCGAAAGTGTACTTTGTTTAGGACCCCTCCATTTTGGAAAGAATGTTGCAACCTGACGCTGCTTTTTTTCTTCATATATCATCTCAATTAAGGTCAGTCGTTGCAGAAATGATGATAAGCCATGGATCTGGGACTGAGATACTCCTAGAACTATGAGGCTCCACGTAGTGGAGCCTCATAGGTTCAGAAGCCCGCAAAATTGTTGTCAGCACAAAACACTAATTAAGTACAAAAACGTCCATCCCAAGCAGGCCGTTTTCCACAGAACCGCTGCACAGTTTGCCCCTAAACTCCATACAATACCTCATGACATACTCACGTTATGTGCACCCAACAAACATCGGTGAATTCTGTCTGTTTTTCGGCAAAAATGATGAAAAATATGCCCTTTCCGCACTGAGCCAACCTAACACTTGAAACGAGCACGCGTGCAGAATGATCGCAGTCATTTTCGGTTCGATCGCTCGGAGCGCGCCGCGGGGGGTACGTACTTGCACTTGTACGCATGTGCATACTATCGTTCCGCTCTACACGGCCTGCTTGGGATGGACGTTTTTGTACTTAATTAGTGTTTTGTGCTGACAACAATTTTGCGGGCTTCTGAACCTATGAGGCTCCACTACGTGGAGCCTCATAGTTCTAGGAGTAGGACTGAGAAACATTTCCAATTTTGTTTAATTGTTAGGAAATACTTAGAAAATGTTCTTGACTCTCCATAGACTCAGAATCGTACACAACCGCTGAAGTAGCGTAAGGTTGCAACATTCATTCCTCCATTTTGTTGGCGATTTTTTAGTCGAGTGGTAAGACATCTGCACTAGAAAGCAGGAGGTCATGGGTTCGAGTCCCACCCGAGTGATTTTTTCTAACTTTCACTCGGGAGGTAACACACTGAGTATACAGTGTTTAAACGTCAGTGAAGGGCAAAACCTAATTTGATTTATATCACCCCGACGCAAAATTCCATCTTATAATAGTTTATACGGTACCCGCTGCTGCTATGTACATCAGATTCGAACCAGCCAACCGATCCTGTTAGCTCGGTGGTCGAGTGGTAAGACATCTGCACTAGAAAGCAGGAGGTCGTGGGTTCGAGTCCCACCCGAGTGATTTTTTTCTAACTTTCATTCGGGAGGTAACACACTGAGTATATAGGCCCTAGTGTTTAAACGTCGGTGAAGGGCAAAATCTAATTTGATTTAATATTGTTTACTAAAAGAAAGCCGGTGCCGGCCAAATATCCACTGCCGACAAAAGTGCCAATGAAGGGGCTACAGTGGTACTCACGATCTTTTTTTGAGTTGCAAATGGATAGAATTTGATAAGTTTCACGGTGGACCTCCACACTGCCTACATGTAATTTGTAATTAACTTTATTTCATTGCTTTAATTCATTTCTACTCACAAGTTCCAAAAATGAAGAGTTTAGCTCACTCATGAATAAAGTCTATAGATTTTGGTTTCAGAGGGCAAACGTGTGTTTTTATTTTCCATCAAGTGGACTTTGTAGTCTTTCTGAAAGACTGCAAAAGTAGATTGTTTTGATGTCATTGCGGGTGTTTCAAATGTTTTGAAACCCCAGTTTTGAAAGGGTTTTGACTTTTGAGGGTACAAATTACAAAACATTTTGTGGTAATGGGTGCATGTAGTTCCCTCTGTAAAACTAGTTCCCTCTGTAAAACTTCTCTCATTCTTTTACAATGTTTTTTTTCTTCAGATGTTGTGTAGATCAACCATCCCACACAAGTGAGATCACTCTTGGACAATTTAGCCTGTCGCTGCTCGGTTTGCAGACTCCCTCCGTCATGGGATCAGTCAAGTCTCCATCCTCTGAGGTGCAGCAGCTGTTGCAGAGCCAGGCCTCGGTCTTGGACCAGCTGATCCAGGGTGGTGGGCCATTTGACCTGCTGCTTCAGCAGGTTCTGCAGCAACAGGACGGGGGCAGAGGTAAGTCAGCAACTTATGTTAGGGTAGATCATTTGTCATTTGTGCATTTTTGTTTGTTTGAAGCAACAAAAGTGCTCAAAATCTAAAGACGGGTGCTTAATTAAAGGGAATGCATACAACATATTTGCTTTCGCTGTAATTTTCAGAAATGGATTGATTTGGGGGTTGGTATTTTATAGCAGATATTGTTGCACTGACTTGTTTGAAGTTTTGTGTTTGTAGATGCTGGAAAAACCAAGAAACACAATCATGTTCTTGTAGTGTGGTTCCCTGACCCCACTTAAGATGAAACGGAGCAATTTATAGACGTAGGGGAGAGAACCAGGTCAGGGAACCAGTCTAGCTGGCTTGTACCTTTTCATAGATGTGTAATAGATTGCACACAAAATGCGGACTAACTGAATTTGGTAAATTGGGGGGAGAAGTTGAAAAAAGCCAGTTTTTTTCCCAACGCTGGCCAGCGTTGGAAATTGATACAAAAATAAAACTTTTCTTGAAAATTCAGCACACCAGGTGCTATGATTTTACAGGATGCTATAGACTGTCATTCACTAACAGTCCAGTGAGGTATATTGTATTGCATAATAATTTGGTAGTTTTGCAAATGTTGTATATTCCCTTTAACAACTATTAACCTGAATGATGTACATTGACTATTAGCACAGTGAACGATGTACATGTACCGGTCTGTTCCAAAAACCCCCAATGTTATAGGATCTCGATTTCAATTCAAAAGTTGCCGAGTCATGTTTTGAATTTCCACACTATTGTCTCGCCCATCATTATTGAAATCAACACAGCGCGGGTCTACTGTGAACTGAACCAGGTCTGATCAAGCATGGGTCGACATGCCATATTGTTCACATTAACATGACCAATTGTTGACTGCTGTGATACGTTTTATATTTGAACACCTGAGGGGCGCATAATAGTAGTCGGGGCGTTTGCCACGTTTGGTAACACCCCGCCAATTTTGTGACCAAGTTCCGGACCCGCCTCTTTTTTTTGTGTCACTTCCACTGTATGTAACACACCCCCAGCTTTTGTGTGATCGTAGTATCTCTGGTGTGCAGGTACAGAGCTTTCAAAATTAAACAGTCCTGAATCCTCCAATTTCAATACGATTTTGCACACCCCCTAGGGAGTTAGGGTTAAGAAAATCTTACCAGGCCAAGAATTTCAGGTATAATATTATTTTTAACAATTTGGACACCATTCTGTAGGTTGCTCTTGAAGCATTAGACGCCCTTATTCTAAATCTGGCCAAAACTGTGCCTACATGTAGGCGTACACTACGTAGAGGCTTCTATAATGCAGCATGTAAACTCATTATTTTTGTCGGTATCTGATGGAATCAATAAGATTGCAATGTCCTTGCAAAACGGAGAGGAAAATTCTTCTTTTTCAGAAGCTGATCCATGGAGGAATTTCAGAAATGCTTACATGTACATGTACATTGTACATATGTAGGACACATAAGATGGCCCTAAGTTGCAATAAATTTAGTGGACATACTCATCATGTGTGTCTGGTACTGTAAAAGAACAGTTTATTGAAAAACAAATCAAGTTATTATATTGATTACTGAATGCACAGGGGGTCTGTGAATGTTTAGTCTGACAATTAATATTTCTATTCATAGTTATAAGTTGTCAAATTTGTAGCATTGTACCGGTATCTTGCCAATGTGACAATGCAACATCTATCGCACACTTGTCAGCCACACTGAGGTGTGACTCGATCTCCCATAGAAGTTGCACCCAGCCACCTGCTTCAAGTACATGTACATGTGGTCATTAAACCCTCTATCAATCCTCTGAGGCGGTTTTTAGGGGAATTTGCTGGATTGAGGCTGTATGCCTATTATTTAAAGTGCCTGTTGGTTTCAGGTGGACAGGTTCTCCGGCTGTACCTTGCATTGCTTATGTTCAGCCATGCATAAAATTGAGGCCTACAATATGCTGAATATCATTCAAACTTCATCTGGATATCATCGGCACCGCTCCTGTATATCATCCGCACTGCTCCAACGTGTTAAAAGACAATCAAGAGGTTTTGAAGAATTGAGGCAGTGGGCCCCCCTCCACTAAAAAAAAATTCAGGAAATAACAGATGATTTTGGAGGATTGAGGCTGTATCCTATTTTTACATGGAGGCGATTGGTGGATTTTGCAGAATTGAGGATGCATCCTAAATGGGCTAGGGGTTTAGGGTGAAAAACACGTTAAAAAATGACTCTGAAAAAAATTCATCTTTTTGGCCAAATTTTCTCCAACACTGAGCACTAAGCCGTAAAATGACAACAGTTGTTTACCATATTAGTAAGATCCTAAAATGTTTTTTTTCCCCAAGTATTTCAGATTTTTGGCAGCTGGTCTTTTTTTATGTCTCCAAGGTCACACCACAGGTTACAGATATTGGCAGTCGTTTATTTCATTCATTGTTTATGGATGACAGACTTCACAGGTTTACCTGTTAACGCGGTCAATCACATCTCCCTGGGTATTTTGTGAGAAAACCCCCTGAATCCCCCAACGCCATCCATTATGCAGGAAGCATATGGCACATTCTTGTGCAGTAAATGTACAGGAAGACATGTACATGTACTTGAACTTATAGGATGCAAAGGTTATAACTATAAAGCCTACAGTGTCTGGGCTTATATAAATCCTGCATAAGTTCAAAACCTCCTGGAGGATTTTGAAGGATGGAAAGGCTTACACTCTGTGATAGTTTACATGTGCATCAACCATAATGTGCATCAAGTATTTATGAGGCTAACCAGATGCATTTTTTTTTACAGACTGGGCACATAGCCATTCTCGACCAACGGAATTACAGTATCCTAGCACACGATGTAACAATCAATAACAACAATAACAACATCTTTATGTGTACACAGAAAGAGGCACTTTTATTAAGTCTGGTGTAGTATTTGTTGGGTATTATTTTTGTGTTTTCAACATTTCATTTTATTTGGAAAAACATCAACAATTTTGTTGTTGGGTATTATTTTTGTGTCTTCAACATTTCAATGATATGTTTGGAAAAACATCAACAATTTTGTTGTTGTTGTTGTAACATTGACCTTCCGTAGTTTGCCAACCCTTGGTTGGTAAAAAGTGCCGACTACACGGGTTTAAGAAATTTGAGGTGACCAACGTCCTTGGATAGGGCAGTGGGGATGTGCCAAGGAGACAATCGCAGCAATGCCCACAATTCAACTGTCAAAACACACCAGGGTAATGCTGCGGATGAATTGGTGATGCACATCACTGTCTGTTGATTGAAGCAAAGAGGTTTACACTTAGGAAACTGAGTGTTGGAGATGTACTGCCAGTGCCAGTGGGCATGTAGCATTCTGCTTTAACATACTTTGCCAAGTACAAAAATGTACCCATTCATTAGAATAATGTTGTAAGAGCTGGGCAAGACCAGAGGTCAATTTTAAGTAATATTGTAAAGAGTTGTACCGGTAATATACTCTTGACAATGTACTTCCATTAACCAGTTCATGTCGGATGACGTGATATACACGCAATTTGTGGTATTCGGAACTGATGATGGATAACCACGCAACGAGCGAGGGAGCAACCCGCTCGCAGTGAGCGAGGCCGGAAATATCAGGGTGTGCTACCCGCAGATGACAGCCTGAACCCGTCTGACATCGAGGTTCATGTAAACAATCCCGTGCCTGGGTCCGGTCAATCTCAAAATAATCCCGGCGCGAACTGGTTAACAATGAATTATTTAAATCATAGGGCAAGGACCAGGGTACCATGTACATTGTAAATGGATAAACTCTAGCCGAGTGAACCCGTACAGTTTGCACTTAAACATTGTTAATATTTTATGTAGTAAAATGTTGTACTGAAACACGAACAAGAAATATCTTGAGACCAGAAAACACAACATACTGGTACCGGTACATGTATCACACACAGTACATAGCTGTTCTCTTTAAGTTTTTGAAATACATTGTACATTGGATGTCAACATCTTTTAGGCAAATCCTAATTATTTTGCATTAAATAGGCCTACATGGTCCTGCATGGTGTACCGTACATGTTTTTCAATAAAGTCGTAAGACTAAAATTACTGACTTTTCTGGTGAACAGCAAATTCTAGGGTGAAATACCGTATCAATTTTAGTGGCCAGTTATTGAATCTGATAGATCTAATATCCTTCCTCCATGTACAAACATCCGTGTGCATCTAGGCCTTTTTGTACAGTGACCTCTAGTTGGCAAGATTGTATCCAGTTTTAATGAAATTGTCACTTGTGTGTAGTAAATTGACTGCACATCTCAGCAGTGTTTATGACCTGTCAGTGACCTGACAATGTGTCATCACTCTTCTGTTCCTTGCTCTATTATTAAACAGGGTCTGTAGCAGCAGTCTTGCTTATCCAAATCATGCAGTATAGTGTTAACAATTGCACATTTAAATGGGTTCCTCAAGTAAGGTTTGACACGAAATGAAATTTATGGATTATTTTTCTCTCCAGAAAAGGGCGTTTATTGTAGCGCAGGTGCTGAAAATGAGAGGGTTTGGAGCAAAAGGCTCCAGGTTACTGTACATGTAACAATGGATTGAACGTTTTGGTTTATCCTATAAAAGTATTATTTAAGTAGCATTTGTTGTTAGTGTTGCTCATGAATGTTGATTGATCTTTTAATTTGCAGATTATTATGATGTAATTGTCTGAATTTGTTGGGCAGGGTATCTGTTTACATCGACTGGGAAAACAGTTTCCAAGTTGTATTACTGTGTGCCAGTTTTATTTACCGGGGTACTAATGTACCGGTACATGTATTGTACATGTGAACATGTATCAGTTGGTACATGTACTTGTAACATTGGAAGGCTGTATTTGATATCAAAGATCATTTTCCTACGTGATACGGTACATGTACCCGGTACATGTACATAAAATGAAACTGTACGTACTGACGCGGTATACAACGAACAACTACCAGTACATGATGTGTACTGTACGT